GGAGGGATAGTAGGGTGGGTGTAACGGAAAAACTGAAATTTGAAAAAAAAAAAAATTTGGAGAGGGGGTGGGGTGGGTTGGTGAGGGTGGGGAAGGTTGAGAAGGAGCTTTGGAAAATGTTTTCCCTTCTTTTGATAAGGAAAACATTTTCCTCCAATTGGAGGAAAATGAATTGATAAGGAAAATATTTTCCAAAATATTTTAGCCAACCAAACATGGGAAAATTGAAAAATATTTTCCGGAAAATATTTTCCTTCATACCAAACACACCCAAGGTGTTCAATTTATGTGAACCTATTTAACTGAAGACGGAATTTAAAAAAAGAGAGAATACTTTTGAACGTATAGTGTAAAATGAGGCACATATATTTTGTATGGATATAAATCAATGCATAAAGGTAAATTATTTCTAAATAAGGAAAGGGGTCATTCTTTTTGGCACGGACTAAAAAGAAAATAGGTTCACATAAATTCAAACAGATGGAGTAATAAATACATGATATATATATTTTTACACATAGTAGGAATTTTCACCAAGGAATTTAAAAAATTAAAAAAATAAACATATGATATATGTACATGGAAAAAAAAAACTAAGCTTACATACAATGTGTGTTTACGGGTTCAACTTTATACACGTTGAAGTGTCTATATGTGCACTCGCAAAGTTGAAGTGTTTACTTGCTAGCTGATGCCAAGTTTGAATGCATGTTTATGTATTTGGTCTTTTATTTTTCTAAATCCGAAATTAAACCAAAAAAAAAAAATTAAATTTCTCAATCCGAAACCAAACTAAACAAACAAAAAAACTTATCCAAATTAAAATTAACACTGAAAAGGAAACCAAAAAGAAAAAAAGAAAAAAAAAGTAAGAGTTGTCTACTTTTTGTAGGCGTGTTTTTATTTGGTTTTGTAGTTTCACTAAGGCATAAAACCAAAACTAGTTTGACTCTAAAGTCTTTGTCTAGAATGTAGTATATTTGCAATTTTGTTTTAGGGAACAAAAAAAATATGAATGTAGTATAAATTCTCAAGAAACTGGAGAAAGTTACATATAGAAACTGCTATAACAAAAAGAAAAAAAAAATTCCAAACTTCTACAATTATCTATTCTAATAAAGTTTTCTTGATTAGTCCTTGACCTCTTTTCTCAGTTTCTGGTATTATTTACAGACTCAAAACAAGGGCAAGATTTATATTTATCAGTCCTTGGTCTTTTTATTTATACTTATCACACATGATGTATTAATCTGAATCGCAACTATAAATTTTATCGTCTGTTATTAAATTTAAAAATGTAAAGAGAGTATAAAAATTTGGTGCGGATAAGTTTTTATCTTATATATTTTACCTGCCATATGAATTAATTAAATAAAACTTAATTAATCTGTACCTTCAAGCTAAGATATCGACATGAGTTGCTAGTTTCATTATACAATATAATGTTTCGTTGTTTTTAAGTGATTTAATAAAAATGAGGCTCTCTTATTTCTTTAAATAAAAAATGAGTCAAATTTTCGTAACTAAATGTTATTTGTGACAACTCGCGGCGCAGCCGCTAAAAAATTTAGGTGACTATGTGGATCTTTAGTGGCGATGTGAGTCGCCACTAGAAGCCTTGGTTTGGTTGCCTGTCAGAAAAGCGATCTAGCAATATTATCATTTGCGACATTTTACTTTTACAACGACTTTGTTGCCGCTAAAGCTTATTTTTTTAAATTAAAAAGCTTAGTTTTAGTTAAAATAGAGTAAATCTTACTACTAATTGCTCACATAAATAACACTAGTCTTACTAACACGATGAGAATACCAAATACATTTTTCAATAAAATTAATAGAATTTTTTATAGCCATAATATAAGTGAAGCAATTCAAAAATACATTTTAGTGTATTTACACATGAAAAAACAAGAATCATAAAATATTTTTAATAAACTCCTTCTTGCCAACAATTTCCATAACAGAATACTAGAAAAAAAAGTGAGAGCAAAAGTTCACTTCGATAACTTGATATTAAGGAGGAAAGGATTTAAGAAACTGTAGCATCATTTAGAAAGACTAGTTACTGTACATATGCATTGCACGTGTATCCTATATTAATTTTATATAATGCATATTTAAAAATTGTTAAAATTAATGCATACATATTTTAAAAATATTTGATTGAAATATTACTATCTAAAAAGCTAATCAGTATTGTTCCATCTTTAATACTTCTTATGATGAGGTTAAAGGTCGTACTGTCTGATCAACTCTATCTCTGTTATAATTTTCAACGATGACACGATGAATTAAAATTTCTCTTTACTTTGAACTATGCAACATATATGTTATGTTAAGACAATTTAAAAATAAAAGCAATTTTACAAATATTTCTAAAAGAATTTTCTTTTCCCAAAATGGAAATGAATATGTAGATATTTTGACACGATGTGGGAAAATATGCGAAAATTACCACGATACTATTTCATATTCCATGGAAATTCTATCCAAACCACCATAGCATAAAATTGAAGAGTAATTATTTTACGTAAGAAAATGAATCTAATAGTTACCAAAACGTCATTATCAGATTCTTAACATTCTAAGAGTGAGTGATCCAGATTCCAGGTCTTGTGTATATGCTCATGCGGCTTTTTAATCCAAGGCTTGGTCTTTATCATTGCTGCATATGCAATTAATCTTTCTGAGAGTTTGAGAAAAGAAGTTCATAGTGAGGCAATGGATACTAATTATGTTGCTATTGCCATCTCAACTTCTCTTTATAGGAACCTTCTCTTGTGTAACTGAATATTTAATTATGTAAAAGAATTTTGGGAAGAACGATCTTAAATATGGAGATGAAAGATAATTAAGTTGGACAATTGTAACTTAACTATCAAACACACCCTTGGACAATTGGTATGAAGGAAAATATTTTCCGGAAAATGTTTTCCAATTTTTCCATGTTTGGTTGGAGGAAAATGTTTTCCTTATCAAGACAAGGGAAAACATTTTCCAAAACTCCTTCTCAACCTTCCCTACCCTCACCACCCCACCCCACCCCACGCCACCCCCTCTCTCCAAAAAAGGCTCTTTTTTTTTCAAATTTCAGTTTTTCCGTTACCACCCACCCTACTACCCTTCCACCCCACCCCACCCCACCCCCCTCCCGCTAAAAAAAAAAATTATTTTTTTTACCTTAGTTTTTTTTTATTGCAATTTCAATTTTACTTTTTATTTTCTACACCACCACTTACCCCCCCCCCCCCTAAAAAAAATTACGTTTTTTTTTTGTAATTTCAATTCTGTTTTTGGTTTTCTGCCCCACCCCCTCCCCAGTACCCCCCCCCCCCCCCCCGGATAAAAAAATTTTAATATATTTTTCAGTTTTAGTTTTTTTATTTATCGGTTTGAAGGTTCAAAATTTTACAAGTTCCAAAGTTATGATTTCGGAGGTTTATGTGTTTGGAAGTTTACGGGTTTAGAAATTATAAAGTTTACGGGTAAGAAATTCCGCGGTTTCGAAAGTTTAGCGGTTCGAAAGTTTATGAAGAATGTGGGTTCGGAAGGTTGTTGGTTTGAAAGTTTATGGCTTCATGTTTATTATATCTAAATTATTTATGAATTACTCTTGAGAAGTCATTTTCCTTATTTTTGCATACCAAACATCGGAAAATGAATAAGATTACTACTTATTTTACAAGAAAACATTTTCTTGGTTCCGTTATTCCAAACACACCCTTAGTTATACATTGGTTATCTGTTTACTAAGTGGATAACTTGATTCTTATCCATATTTGACCCATTTTTAAAAAGTTTATTATCCAACATATTTTTTAATGGATAATAGGGACGAATAACTGCTATCTTTTATCCATTTTTCCACCACTATGTTCAACCAATTTTAAGACGGTCTTTTCATTTATATTTATCACATTGATGTCTCAATTAGAACCACAAATATAAATTTTACCGCTTGTCATAAAATATAGAGAGAGTATAAATATTTGGTGCAAATAAAGTTTTACCTTATATATATAACCTACCTATAACCTGCAACTATAATTAATTTAATTAATCTTCACCTTCAAGCTAAGACATCGATATGAATTGCTAATTTGATTACATAATGTAATAATATTTTTGTTCTAAAGTGATTTAATAAAAAATAAAGCTCTCTTCTTCCTTTAAATAAAAAAAAAAGTAGTCAAAAACTTTCTTTACTGGATGTTATTTGTGAGAGCATTCTCTACAAAAATGTACATTTGGTGGCGACTGATTGCCGCTAATAGCCAGAAAAG